CTTTGCCCTACACCCCACCCTTCTGGACTCTGATCTTTGTGACTAGAAGTCATGGACATATCTTGGTTCCATAACAATTTCATCCCACTTCATCCCACTGGTAACTTATACAACTTGGGAAGTGGAAATTGTGGTTGGTTTAATGTGATCTAGTGCAACAATCTCCTTTGTTTTCATTTTGAGAATAAACAACATCATACATCATCCAGGAATTATATATGAGGTTGATTTTCAGTACATTACATGTCATGTCAAGCATAGGTTCTGTGGTTTGTGGTTCCATAGGTAACATCCTATCATGAGGGATGAATCCAGGTGTAAGAGCCTCACCAATACCAAACAATGCCAACCCTTCCTTTGCACAAATAAACTTTCCCAAAGCAGCACTTTCAGAGTCAGTCACCCCAGTGTGTTATATCACCCTTAAGAAACTGACTGGATTTGCTTGTCCCACCATGTCTAGGGAAAGAAAGCACAGACCTAGGAATGGCTCTAGACTCACTGTTGGCTTCACTCCAAGGAACCCAGTAGTTGAAACCAAGAAAGGAATGGACACAGGACAGAATCCAAGAGAGACATGCCCAGGTTCCATTTGTTCTCTTCTAGTAGAATCCAAAGGACAATGATTATCTGTTGACATGTGTACAAATCTGGGAGCACTCATGTACCCTGATGACCAGAGACTCTGTTCCAGGTCGCTCTTGGAGACATGGAACACCTGTGCACCTGATATGAATACCAAGACCACAATTCCCCTGGACTCACACTGATTTTGAGACAGGGCACAATTGTTCAAATGACTGAGGAGGCATGGACTGAGGGTGAAGGGAAGCAAACAGTGGTAGCAGGCATATGTTTACCACAGCATCCCAAGAGCTGATGACAGACCTGGGAACCCTTTACAACATAGTGTGTAACATTCCTCACCTGCTCAGTACATTTACCTCTCAGGGCCTCACTTAGCCTGAAACAGGAAAAACAGACCTGAGTCAGCCCATCCCACACTGGGGCCAGCACCCAGTCAGCACAATTCCTTCTTTCTTTAATGATGTCATACATGACGCACGGAGGAGAGAGGTGGAGACCTAAAGAGTAGCAGAAAGTGTGACAGCTAACATCCAGGTTTAATATAACCTCAGAAGTTACCCTGGGAGAGTCCTGGGATAAACCAGGAGAAAGCTACCAGCCTGAGTCAAGCAGTGACCAGAGCATACTTGTCTCTGTCCCCCCCAGTCCTGTGATGCAGGCTGATGTCCTGACTCCCATTTAGGCCAAATGGGAACTAGAGAAAGACCCTTGTATGTGCCCCAACATAGGGTCACATCATATGTAAATGGGCTGGACAAGGCCAAAAGCCATCAACAGGAACATGGAGCAAGCTTGAGGGCTTCAAGCTAGCTATAAGCATGGAATCGCTACAGGCCCTGGTGACGTAGATGTGGGCAGAGATGGGTGTGGCAGGGCAGCCAAGAGGAGGAGACCAGTTTCTAGTCCTTGCTGAGGTGCTGCATGCTATGGACTGAGCTCCTACCTTCCTTCTAGCACACTGCAAGTGCTGCAGAGTCCCCACCAGGATTTCACTGGGACTTTTGAGCCACTGCTCTTTAGAGGTCTGGATTCCAAACAAGGACAGGGATTGCATCTTTGCTGGCCCTAGAGAGTGATGAGTTGCTATGTGCTGTCTGACCAGCAGTGCCCACCATAATAGTGCCCTCATGGCTACCCACCCTAACTACAGGCCTCTGGAATGAGGAGGACACTGCTTACATATCTCCATGTGAAAGTTTGTTGCAGGAAAAACTGACACACCAAGAAACAGATGGTGAATAAAAGGCTGACACCACATGGCCTGACCGAACCTAATGGCCTCCAGGAACTCTGTGACAGTTGTTAACTCTTAGCTTTCTCAGATCCATGTAAGAAGTGTCAGTTCTGAGTCTGGCCTTCCTGATCAATTCACCAACTTCAAACCTGTCCACAAGACTCGACAGACTGCAGCCACCACCCCACTGTCCCTCACACCACAAAACCAATCAGTGACACATGCTCTCACAGCAAGCTGGTGTATCCTGCAGTGACTGGAAGGTCCTTGTGTCCTGTCAACTAAGTGCTCCTTGAGTCTACAGGGCACTGTTATCCCAGACTTTGGCAATGTCCACAAGTCCCTCAAAATTCTGCCTGTGTAGCATGACAAAGACACCCTTTCCATCCCTACTATGATAGCTGTAGACACAGCGATCCATCCACCAAGAAGCAAAGGAAAAATAAAATCAGACAGAATGACCTCTCTGGAATAAGTACCTGGACATCCTGCTGGTCTCCCCTAGATCCTCTTGAAACTTGTAGATAGTTTTTCTGCTTTCTCAGATTAGAGCTAAGAGGTGCTCGGTCTAGGAGGATGGCCTTCTTTGTGAGTTAATGACCTCACACCTGTACTCTAGGCTCCCCATGCTGTAGCCACCTTCCCCACATTGCCTCTCACTCACTCTCCTTGCTAAACACGCAAGCCACTTTAGTGGCTGCATAGTGACAGTGTCTGCAATATCAGTCACACTTCATGCCCTACTCTCCAAGTGTTCAACAGGTCCTGGTCAATTCTGAGACAATGTCTTTAGGCCCCTCAGAGCTTTGCCTGTGTGACATATTTCTAGCTGACTTCCTTATACCTTGTGATCCTGCACCTTGAGGCAGGGTCCAATGGTCATCTATCCACTATGTTCACAGCCCCCAATCCAACATAAACACTGTGCACAGCTGCCTGTGAAGGAACTGAGCACCTCCCATGGATGAGCACAGGAGAGAAGAAAGGGAGGGACCTAGGAGGCTGATTTTCCTGGCCCTTTTCTTACCCCCCTGTACACACCCAGTAAACAGAGCTACTTGGCTCAAGGCAGAGAACCTTTCATAAGGTAGGTGACCAGTCTGTCCTCATAGTCTTTCCTGACCCTGGGCGTCCGGAGCAGGTTCCCCTATCGCAGTTAAATAAGGATCAGGATAAGCAAATAGGCTGAATAGATGTTTATTCATGGAGAAATAACTTACAACCTAGACAGATGAACACCAGGAAATTCAACCCAATCCTCTTCTGTCCGAGTCACGCCATCAAGAGAGCATTTTCCGGCTCTCTCTCAGACCTCCTTCCACAGGTCACTTCCGCCCATCGCTCCACCCCTCAATCGGCGTGGTCAGTGCCACAGAAGGACTATCTCACTACCACCACAATCAACTAATCATGAAGGGGACCTCTTGCTGCAACTTGACATTTGGTCCCCAATAAAGGAAGCAAGGCTGACTGTCCTTTGTCCTCTTCTTTGAGTTGAGCTCCTGAGTTTCTCTTCAGTCTGCGTGTCGAGAGGGGTCAAAGCAGACTAGGCAGATTTGCCTCAGTTTCTCTCCCCAGGTGCTTTTGCTTACTCAGTGGAGGGCATCAGGTTGTTGGAGCTGACTGTACAGGCACTGTGTTATGTCAGGCTAAGAAATGTGAATACAGGGCACAAATGTCCACTGAAACCCTACTTCCAGTGACATAGAAAGGTCACTCATCAGACATGCCACATATGTAGAGCATAAGGAACTACAGAACATTGCCTCAGGCTAGAGTAAGACCTTTCAGCACCATTGAAAGTGAAAAAGAGGAGGGTTGTAGAGATGGTGAACAGTATAGAGCTGGCTTCTCTTACTAAAGACCCAGGCTTGATTCCCAGCACCTACAGGAGGTTTATACCTAAATGCAATGAAAGTTCCTGGAGATTACACACTCTCTCCTGTCCTCGGGCACTGCACATATGCAGGCAAATGTCCATGCATATACAAAAAAAATAAAGGGTAAGGGAAGAAGAAGAGGAGATGCTGACAAAAACATGTGACAATTCTTTAGGCAGCAAGGGGTGTCTGTGAAGTAGTTACCCCCGCTTGGTGAGTGTTGGTCCTGAGCATCCCAAAAGCCAATATCTGGCTACTCTTGAGCTATGGTAGAACCTCTCTATGTTCCTGTGACAGACAGTCAGTGGGAGGATATTTTCTTTTTAACAAAAGCAAAATCAAAATGAGTGTCTGCACACAGTTGTGTCTCAAAACATTCCACAGGGTCTTGGGATGCTGCAGTCTGACCTCTGGTTATATAGAGACTGAGATGGGCCTTGAGGGGTATTCTATTGTCTGCAGAACTGTTCTGCGTGGCCCCAACAAGATACCAAATTTTTAAAACTCCAAGATCCTTGAACTTTGCTAGTGAGTAATACCCATTTTATCTGTCCCAGTGCTTGACAAAAACACTCTCCTCAGTCTGGAGAGACGGCCCCAGACAGGACAGCAGGATCCTGCCCATCCCTCTGGATTCTGACCTGTCACTTTTGCTACACTGCATTTCCTCCTGCATCCTTTCATTGCAGCAAGCCTGAGCTGTCAGGACAGCAGCTTTTGTAGCAGTGAGAGCCCTATTTACCATTTGTGGCACTTAGGTCTTGGGGACCTATGCCAACAACTGTCCCCCAAAACAAGAATTGTGCTGATTTCCAGCTCAAGCCATTCACATTTCCTCAAGAACCAGTGAGTCTTGACTTCTGTCTGTGATTTGTCCCTGAGCCAGCATCCATGCATGATGGGTTTTTCTGTGTGGCCTAGGGTCAAACACTGAACACCAACCAGCACAGCCACCTCTCTTCCTACTTTGTCACAATGCTTCCCCCTCTCATTGTCCCTTTCGTTCCCTCCTGTGTGTCTTCATCATCCCCTGACCACATGCAGACTCCACCTTTGTTTGAGAAGGGAGCTCATTGAGTAATCCAGGTTATATAGCACAGGCTGGCCTTGAACTTGAAATCTTCTTGCCTCAGCCCCCTCCACTCTATACTGCAGGCATGTGCCCCTGTGCTCAGTAAACTCTTTCCTCACAACATGGAGTTGTTGACAGGGGAGGTCTGAGGAGGAGGAGAAAGGCCGGTTGCAGACTGTGGTCTTAGGACACAGTGAAGATGAGGATGAGACATGGACCAGGAATCTGATTGGCAGCCACACATCTGGTTTATTGGACATCACATAGCACAGCTGGGAAGAAGGAGGGAGCTGCTGTCATTGCTAGCGCATGACTTCACAGAGCTCATAGGGGATGGGAATACATGGCAATGTGAAGACCCCATGGTCGCTGGGCCGGGGCTGTCCAGTGGGCACCGAGAAGCTAAAGCGCTGCAGGAGGCGGGTGAAGAAGAGGAAGAGCTCCATGCGGGCCAGGGGCTCCCCCAGGCATGCTCTGCGGCCTGTGGGCGGGAGAGGGGCTGTCAGTCTGGGGCCTGATGGATGCTCCACCCTGCAAGGCACCCTGGGAAGAGGCATGGGGCCAGGCACCCCACAGCACCTGCTGAGAATGGCATGAAGGCCTCATGCTTCACAAAGCGGCCCTGGGCATCCAGGAAGTGTTCAGGATGGAAGTGGAGGGGCTTCTCCCAGACGGTCTCATCCTTCAGTACCGAGGACAGGTTGGTGATGAGGGTGGTCCCCTGGCAGAGGCACATGGTGTGAACATGGACTTGGGTGGGGCTGCCAATACCCTGGTTATCATGATCACATGCACAAACTCTTTCTGCACACACAGGGTTCTTTCATTCACCTCAACCTCAGAGTCTCTCAGTACCTTTTCCGGAACTATTAAAGGCCCTGTGAGTAAAGTACCATAACTACCCAAATCGAACCTGTGCCAGTGTGCAGTGCTCCCTAAAATACACCGGGGCTTATTTCACTGGACATCCCTCCTCATTGGGGAATCCTGGTTGTTCCCTTCACCATGTGAAAATCCAGGATGTGGTGAACTTGGTCTTCATAGCCTTTGTTTGCCTGGTGTGAGTCTGTGACAAGGGTGCCCATGCATACCTTGGGGATGAGGAAGCCCTGTACTTCAACATCACGGGAGGTCATGTGTGGAACATTCAAGGGGACAATGTCTGCAAATCGCTGCACCTCATGAATGACAGCATTGGTGTAGGGCATGCGGGCCTGATCTGCCATCTGTGGGAGTCGCTCCTGCCCTATGACATTGTCAATCTCCTGGTGGACACGGCCTGGAGAGACAGCATCCCCTCAGTGAAGCAGGTCCTTGGCGGCTCTTCCTTGACCTCCACTACTGGGTTAGTAGGTGAGTTAAGATTCCATCAGACTTATGGGAGTCTGGGTCAAGCTGATGCTGGAGCCACCAGCTTCTCAGAGACTTCCATCTTGCTTCCCTCATGCTCCCTCCCAGCCCCAGTCAGGCTCACTCTGCACATCCGGGTGCAGGATCATGAGCAGCAGGGCCCAGGACAGTGTGGTTGAGGTGGTCACCATCCCCGCTGTGAACAGGTCAGCCACCACCAGGCGCAGGTTCTCATCATTGAAGCTGCTCTCAGGATTCCCCTTGGCCTGGGCCAGACAGAGATGTTGGGCTCAGGGACATGGGGGAGAAAAAACAAAGTTATCTACCATTGTGTTCATGCACCCCAGGTGTTGGGTACATGGGTGACATATAAAATCCAGCTGCCTGGCATCACAACTCACAGTACACTCCATCCCAAAGACCTAGCCCATCTTTATGGCTGTCCTCACATTCTCCATTTCAGCAAGGAAAGCATCTGTCAGGTCTCGGGGTGGCTGTGCAGGATCCCAGGTTGTCTTGTGCTCAATTAACATCTTATCCAGAGAGTCCATGAATGCAGTCACCTTGGGGAAGGCTTTGCCTGGCAGTCCAGGGATTCGGAGGAGCACTGGAACTGCGTTCAGTACCTGTGAAAGAAACCGGTCTAGGCCATCTTATTTCTAATTAAGAATGATTATTGGGCCAGGTAGTGGTGGCATAAGCCTTTATTCCCAGGACTCAGAGGGCAGAAGCAGGTGGTTCTCTGTGAGTTCAAGGCCACCCTGTTCTACAGAGTTAGTTCCAGGACAGCCAGAAGAGCATCACAGAAAAACCTTTTTCAGAAAAAAATATGAAAGAATCGTGTGTGTGTGTGTGTGTGTGTGTGTGTGTGTGTGTGTGTGTGTGTGTGCTTGCATGGGTGTGTGTGTGGGGCAGGTGTCCATTTCTGTGCATGCCTGCATGTACACTCAAATGTGTACAATAGTCTCTTATTTAGTGGACAGAGAACAACATTGAGAATAACATCTATCTTTCCCATGGGTCCAGGCTTGCTTGGTAAGGTTCTTTACACATTGTCCATCTACCTGTCTTGCCCTGGATGCTGTAACTGCTCAGTATTCACATGGACCAGTCTTAGAACCCAGTCTCTTCCACAAAGGACTCACGGACTATTTGTCCCCTCACATAACCTGCTTCTTCCTCAGTTGCAGCCTGAAGGCTGTGCTGTAGGATAAACAAAGTAACTAATCTGTCCTGCAAATCTAACAGGTTTGTGTGGTTTCCTGTAAACAGAGGGCAGTGGCTCATCCCATTTCTGGAGTCCTTGACTTTAGTCGACCCCTTATCTCCTGATATCTGTGGTTTGCCAAGGTCCAGGCATTTCCTCCTACAGACTCTCCCACAAGGCCTTCACCCTATTCATCATTTACACCACAGCAGTGGCCATGCACACTTGCTCTGAGCCTCATACCTCAGCAATGAAGCCAGAATCCTCTCCAAAACTTTCCTGTAACGTCTTGAGCAGCCATTTGAAGAAAGGGTCTTCATAGTCGAAGCGATGGGCATAAATGAGGGATGAAATCACATTGCATACACTCTTATTCAGGAGGGTGCTGGGATTAAAGGGATGTCCTAGGAACAGAGATCAAGCAAGTCATGATAATGCTCATAAGTGCCAGCCCACAAAACCATACCTCACCCATCACCCACCAGCCTCCTGGGTGAAGGCATCACAGAGGTGTCCAGCCTCCTCTGTCACCCACTGCTCCAGTGATTTCTTGCCCAGGCCAAAGTCTCTCATGGTGGACACAGAGAATCGACGCTGCTCTCGCCACTGGGGTCCATAGGGTGCAAACACCACACCTGCAGGGACATCTGTGTGTAACCAAGGATACCTGGCTGTCCTGTCTCCTCTGCCGCCAATATTTCTCTATGGTCAGTCTTAGCCATCAGTGACCAGCACTTTGCTACCACATATCAGCACATACAATTTTGGAGCTCCACCCTCCACTGCAGTCACTTTCCCTCATTTTCTGACCCCATCCATTAGGCCCTGTCCACCTTCTGTTCACTTCTCCTCATGTCTTATTCTCCCCGCCTTGTCCTGACTACAGCTCTTTGCCTTTCGATTTGTGCCCGTAGCCCAGGTGATTAAAGATGGGCATTGGAGGGCGGTCAGCGGTGTCCTCTCCACAGTTCAGCAGCACTTCCCGCATCGCCTTCAGTCCATTGATCACGACCACAGGCTTCCAGGCCATCTGCAGGCTGAACACATCACCGTAGCGCTGTCGAAGCTGAAGCAGAGGGACAGAACACTTAGGAAGTGGAGGGCCCTGGCAGACATGAAGATACAGGCTGAACACATGTCATTGTGTTTGAGTGTGTCTGCATGCACATGTATGCGTGTGTGTGCAAACATGAGTTTGTTGGCATGGTACTCATTATTGAACCTTAGTCCTGCCCTATGCTGGTCAAAGTTCTATCACCGACCTACTTCTCTACACTGAGGTATGGCATCTTATGATTGGGATATCCTATCTTCTGTATCCAGGTAATGCCTCATAATAGACATGGTCATTCAGTGGAGGCCTTACCAGAGCAAGGTCCTTGCCCTTTCATACCCTTTCATACCAGAGGATTTTCAAGATCCTGAGCTGGGCAGTAAGACCTGAGACCACACCGCCCCCAGAGATTATAGCAGACATAGCCCCTCCAACTATTTTCTTTCCTGACTGACAGGCTACATTGGAACCCAACTCCTCCCCTATGTCCTTGAGACTTCAGCCACTGATGGGATACCAAGGGAAATGAGGCCTCCCTGATCTCTGCCCTGTAGTCCAACCATTCTCCAGACATGTTTTTGTGGTCATTTCCATACTGTGTCCCAGTTTTTACAAAGTCCACAGTGTCCTCAGACACAGAAGTAACTGTCATGACCCTTCTTCCTCATGGGGGCATCTTCCTGTCTATCCTGTGGCTTCAGTGCCACCATGAGCTGCTATGGGTACCATAACATCTACTGCCCTCCACCATCTCTCTTACCTTGTATAAACTATATGGCATGTTCTCAAAGTCCACCTGCAGCAGGTTGCCTAGCCCAGGTAGTGACATAGGACCTGGAGGGTAGCGGGCAGTCCAGAACTTGCGTCGGTGCATCAGGTCCACCAGAAGCAGGAAGATGGCCGTGAAAATGACCACAGACCACGGGCCATCTCCAATCAGCAGTGCCATGGCTGAACCACTGCTTTACAGACTGTTTAGGGTCACCTGCTCTGGACACCCAAGGTCAGGAAAGACACTCTGAGGATAGACTGTTCACCTGGTCCTTTATGAAGGGTAGAATGCTGCACTTTGTTCTCTGCCTTGAGCCAAGTTGCTGTGTTTGCTGTTCAGTGGGGTGTGTACGGTGGGGTGAGAGAAGGGCAGGGAAAGTCAGCCTCATGGGTTTCTGCCCTCTCTTCTTTCCTTGTGTGCTTCTCCATGGGAATAACTCAGTTTCTCCACAAGGAGATGTACACTGTGGGTATGTAGGATTTGGCACTGTGAACACAGTGGGCAGATGACCATTGGACCCTGCCTCAAGGTGCAGCAAATCAGTCAGCAATATGCCCCACATGAAGAACTATGATGGGCCTGGGGACATTGTCTCAATAGATGAAGAATTTTAGTGGCTCCATTGAACAACTGGCTAGTAGGACATGAGGTCTGCCTGACTCTGCAGGCACCATCACTCTGTAGTGAGGGACACTGAAGGGCTTGTATGACTAACCAATGAGGATGCATGAACGGAGCCACAAGTGAAGTCACTCAACTCACGAGGAAGGTCAATCTCACGACTAGGGACCTCTTAGGTCTGATCTGAGAAAGCTGGAAAACTGTGTATAATTGTCAAGAGAAGCCAGGGGAGGCCAGCAGGATGTCCAGGTGCTTGTCACATGGAGGCCACTGTGCCTGATTTTATTCTCCCCTTGTGTCTTGGTGGATGGATCCCTGTGTCTACAGCTATCATAGTAGGGATAGAAAGGGAGTCTTTGTCATGCTACACAGGCAGAGTTTTGAGGGACTTGTGAACATTGCCACAGACTGGGTTAAGAGTGCCCTGTAGATTCAAGGATCACTTAGTTGACAGGACACAAGGACCTTCCAGGCACTGCAGGATACACCACCTGGCTGTGAGAGCATGTGTCACTGATTGGTTTTGTGGTGTGAGGGACAGTGGTGGGTGGTGGTGGCTGCAGTCTGTCGAGGTTGTGGACAGGTTTGAGGTTCGTGAATTGATCAGGAAGGCCAGACTCAGAACTGGTACTTCTTACATAGCATCTGACAAAAGCTGAGAAAGTGTCAACAACTGTCATAGTGTCCTTGGTGGCCTTGGTCAGGGACTGTCACATGGTAGTCTCAGTCTTTTATTCATTTGTTTCTTGGTGTGTCCTCCTCATTCCAGAGGCCTGTGGTTAGGTTTGAACCCATGAGGAAAATGAAAAGATGACTCTGAGCCTTCCAATAAATGGCATTTGTGTGCTTGGCATTGTTCAGCAGACTGCATATAGCAACCCATTATTCCCTAGGGGTCAGAGAAGGTACAGTCCCTGTCCTTGCTGGGAATTCAGACCTCTGAAGATTAAGGATTCAGAAGTTCCAATGGAATCTAGGCAGTTGCTCTCTTCCTCACCATCCAGTGGAAGGACGCAGGAAGGAACTGAGTTAGAGGTGATGATCAGAGTCCACACCATGTGGCACAATTGCAAGGACAGGGTTCCTTTCAGCTTCTCCTACCACCTTTTCTGCCCACATCTTTGTCACTTAGGGACTGCGGGAACTCAACTCTTGTGGTTGGCCCGAAGCCCCTGTCCCTCTGTCTCACTTCTTGTTCCTGTCTTCCTCTTGGCTCTGGTTGGCACCCAGCTTCCCCTGCCTCCATGCTGGACTGAATAGAAACAGTGCAAAGTACAGGACCTAACACAAGCATGTCAGGGCAAGGTGTAGGAGACAACTGAGACTAGGTCATTGAGAAGCTTAAACAGATTTCTCCTGGGCTGACATAGGATACTCCCAGGTTCAGAGCTCATTCTGGACAGTTAACCCTGGGGGTTAACATCAGGACATGGACTGGCTTTAGCATCTGTATCTTCCTGTGCCATGTACAACATGGAAGAGAAGCAATGGTGCTGATTGGGTGCTGGCCCCAGTGTGGGATGGGCTGACTCAGGCCTGATTTTCCTGCTTCAGGCTAAGTGGGGCTCTTAGAGGTTAAGTGCACTGAGCAGGTGACGGATGTCACACACTCTGTGTTGTAAAGGGTTCCCTGGTCTGTCACCAGCTCTTGGGAGATGACCTGGATGCTCTGATGAACATCCCTTCACCTTCAGTCCATGCCTCCTCAGCCATGTGAACAATTGTGCCCTGTCAGGATCAGTGTGACTTCCAGGGGAGACTGGGGTCTTGGTATTCACCACAGCTGCACAGGTGTGCCATGTCTCCAAGAGCAAGATGCAACTTAGTCTCTGGTCATCAGGGGCCAGCAGTGTTCCCAGATTTGCAATTCTCTGTACACATGTCAACAGATAATCACTGACCTTTGGACTTTACTAGAAGAGGACAAGGGAAAACTGGGCATGTTTATCCTAGACTCTGTCCTGTGTGTCATTTCCCTTTGCTTGCTTGAACTGACTGGGTCATTGAAGAGAAGACTAACAGTCATGGTGGGAAGTGCAGAGACAGTTGGTCTCAGAAGAGTGATGTCACTCCCTGTGATGTCTGTGACTCTGAGAGTGCTGTCTTGGGAAAAGTTAGTTTGGGTAAGAGAAGGCCTGACATGTTTAGGGTTGGTGCTGCCTTAATACCTGTTTGGTTACTTTATCCCTCCTGGTATGATAGTAAGTTACCTGTGGAATCATAGACCTATGCTTGAGATGAGATATGTACAAATACTAAGAATCAACCTCATATATGATTCCTGGATAAGTGTTGTTTATTACCAAAACGAAAACAAAGAAGACTTCAGAGCTAGATCACCAAACTGAACTAATGTTGTGGAATACTAGCTAAAGATGTGTTACATTCTTTTAAGCTGTGGAATATTTGCTTAATGATGCAAAGGTGTGTTACATTCTTTTATGTTGCATTTTTTTAAAATTCTGTGAAGCTGTGTTACTTTGTATGTCTGAAATACCTGATTGGTCTAATAAAGAGCAGAACATCCAAAAAGCTAGGCAGAAGAAGGATAGACAGGGTTCCCAGGTAGAGAGAAAAAACAGAAGGAGAAGAGAAGAGGGGGGAAAAGTACGAGAGTGTGGAGAGTGTGGAGGGGCCAGCCACCTAGCTACACAGCCAGTCATGGAGTAAAAAGGGAAGAAAGGAACATTGACTAGAGAAAGCTAAAAGTCCAGAGGCAAAAGGTAGGCAGGATAATTTAGGAAAACCTGGGTAGAAATAAACCAAGCTAATGCCAGACATTTCTAAATAAGTATAAGTCTCCATGTATTTAATTTGGGGCGGGGCGGTGTGATGAGTTCCCAAAGTGTAAGAGTTTAAAAAAAATAAACTACAGTTTGGCATTCCAACTTGATCCGAAATTTCAATGTCTGTCCTAAGGAAAGCTGGAGGAAAAAAAAAAAAAAAAAGAGTATAAGGGCCCTTTTAAGAATTTCTTCTGAACAGTGAGCCCCTTAACAGTGGGTATCTTAAGAAGGAACAAAAGCCTAAGTAAAGTTGCCTGCCATGGTGAAGGGCTCTGGCACTCCAGAGGTGGGGGGTTGGATGTAGTTCCTGGGCAAACACTTTCCACTGTGTCTCCACACACCACTTAGTAGTTTCTTGCTCATGCAGACTAAAAAGACTAAAGATGCACAGTAAACACAGATACCGATGGGAAAAAACTTCTGATCAGGCTTCAGTGTGTTTGACAATGTGAGTAGTCTTAAGAAGAGAAAAAGGTTATTGACAGTTGTAGAAAGAGAAATAATTTTAAAATAATAAATCCTTCACTCAGAGAAGTAAAGTAATATATAAAAAAGAATGGGACATATAGAGGTGGGAAATACACAGGGAGCCTGGATTCTGTGTGTTGCTCCATGATCTTGAATTATTTGATTGCTGATAAGATGGGATTGAAAGAGGGATTGATGCATTAAACAAGCCTAGATATTTTAAGAATACCTTAACTTTAAAATGGAACTCAAAAAGTGCATTGCTTTGCAAAAGAGATCTTGTTTTTATTTCCACAGAAAATTAGAGACTGTGGATTCCTTTAGGATTGATATGGATCAGGTCTGGTCAGGGAAGACCTCCTGAATCTCGATAGGTGATACATACCAACAAAGTTTACACCGACCTTTCCCAGGCCTTGGCCATTTTCTCAATTTCCTCAAAGACAACAGGGAACAGTCTGGAGAACATGATGTCCACATTCCCAAGAAGTGTGGGGGTGTTTTTTGTTTATTTGGTGTGTTACATATGTTTGTTATCATTTGGGGGAAATATAGGAATATAGGATAAAAAGACAACTATTGCAGTTAAATAAGGATTAGGATAAACAAATAGGCCAAACAGATGTTTATTCAGGGAGAAATAACTTACAACCTAGACAGATGAACACCAGTAAGTTCCACAAGATGCTCTCCTCTCCGTGTCCCGCCACCAAGAGAGAATTCCCCGGCTCCTCCTCAGACCTCTTTCAACAGGTCACTTCCGCCCATGGCTCTACCCCCAATGGGCGTTGTCAGTGCCACAGAAGGAGACAAAGTTAATATCCCACTACAATTCCCCTTTTAGTCTAAAGAAAAGATTTAGGCTTGATACAAAACTATATACAAAACAGTGAATAACAAGTGTGCTCTAAGAAAAGGAAAATCAAGAACAAAACGACCTACATATCTAGTCCTAGGGTGAAGGCATAACGGAGTTTACAATAGAGTTGTCCTAAGCTGGAAAACGTAAGTCTAGTACCTAATATATCTAACTAGGAAGAGAGAATAATAGTTGTGATAGTTTAATCTTCAACCTCATCAAGACCTGAGAAGGAAATTAACAATACTAGAGTAGACAGGAAATGCAGATGGGCAACTTCCAAAAGGTGCAGCAAGGACAGAAACAGCAAGCTACCTGGACAGTTACCCAAGGTCTCACAGCAACGTTGGTACAGCCAGTTTTGGCTAAGGCCAAGAGTACTTGACAGACCACAACAACAGCAGGGAAATAGAAAGGCTGTCTTACCCTGACTTGGCAAGGTCCAGTTGTCTTCTATATTTGTCTCCTCCAAGCACAT